TCTTGCAAGGTTTGGGGCAGAGAGATTAAGCAGTTTATGGGTGTTGGTAAGGATATCGATGGTATTGACATCCAAGTCTTATTTCCTCTGGAATGAACTTAGCCAGGGGGTGGTATTGGAGGGAAGGGTAAGGCTTTCAAATACGGTTTCGAGTACCTTTTGTGTTTTTAATTTAGTAAGGGTATCCTGAGGGCCTCCACCATCAGACACTCCCACAGGGGCTATAGGGTACCAGCAGGCTACTTGTCCCTTAGTGGGGCAGGAGGGGGAGCTGAAGCGTGAAGAGGACAACTCTCCTCCGAACGTTCCCTCATAATCCTCCTGATATAACGGCAAACAATAAACGCTGATTTCCCTTATTACAGGTTTGATACTGTGTATAACAGGAGGAGTGCACGGAGTAATGGATAGTTTTATTGCACTCTGATGGGCACTGATCCCCAGTGCGGTAAGAGTCTAGCTTAGGTTTGGGAACACAGAACCATCGGGAACCCGGGACGGTCAGATAAGCAGTTTTATCTCCGCAGTCTTGTGTAAAATGTGGCTTTTGAGCACGGCCACGGCCACGGGTTCGTGGGAAGGATACTATTATGCCCCCTGAGCAGGTACAAGGGTGATGCTGTTGAAGGTATTTTTGAATGCCCTGAGGGTTGTCAAGCCCTGCAAAGACTGGTGGAGCCCAATGGATGGTGTAGATTGCCATCATCAGGAGAGCAAGGCTGAGGGCCATTGTATTAGGGCCCTTTGGAGGGGTTAATCAGTGAGCCCTCAGGAAATGTAGCAGGGGAGGAGAGAATAGAGAGAAGATAAGATACACAAATAGCAACAATGGCAACAATTCCAACAATAATAAGGAGTCCTGTAATGAATCCCAGTAGCGTCCAGCCGGGTCTTTTCATTCCTGTGGGTATAAAGAAAAGGCGTTCTCAGGGCCAAGTACAGGCTCTGGAACAACATCATTATTTGTAGGAATTGGCGGATTAACTTGTTTAATTAATCTTTCAGGTAGCCATCTTGGTGCCGATTGTTTTTGGTCCAGGATGCAGGCTGAGCCACGTCCCCAAATGAGTACTGGATCTGGGCCGTGCCAGCTACTGGTGAGGGGGTCTCACCACATTACCATAGGCGGAGCCGTATCAGGGGAAGGGTGCCAATGACGGTCCGCAGCTGAATGATTATTATTATCCAAGGTCAGGAAGTTTAGCACAAAGAGCGCATGATTCAATCGGTCGCGGGAGAGGCAAAAAGACAAGGAAGTGGCTTCAAGCCGAGTGAGCCAAGTTTTTAGTGTTTGATGGGCTCTTTCAACAATTCCCTGTCCCTGTGGATTGTAGGGAATTCCTGTAATGTGGTTAATATGGAGCGCCTCACAAAATTGTTTAAACTTAGTGCTGACATAAGCAGGACCATTGTCTGTCTTAATCTTAACAGGTTTTCCCAGTACAGAAAGAGCTGTGATAAGGTGCGAGATAACATCCTTAGCAGCTTCTCCTGTGTGGGGGGAGGCAAAGACAAAGCCACTATAGGTGTCTATAGAGACATGGAGATACTTTAGTTTGCCAAATTTTGGGAAGTGTGTGACATCCATTTGCCACAGTTGATTAGGGAGAAGACCACGCGGATTGACTCCCAAATGCGGTACAGGTTGGCTTGTAACACATGAGGGGCATTTTTTGACTATTTCACGAGCCTGTTCTCGTGAAATTTTACAAAACAAACGGAGAGATTGAGCATTTAAGTGATGCAACCTATGCAAGTTTTGAGCTTCCTGTACTGATCCCACAATTATGGGGAAGGTAAGCCTTGTAGCAGCATCTGTCTGGGCATTACCTTCTGAGTTCTGAGCTTCCTGCACTGATCCCACAGTTGTGGGGAAGGTAAGCCTTGTAGCAGCATCTGCCTGGGCATTACCTTCTGAGAGTGACCCTGGTAGGCTTGTGTGTGCCCTAATATGTCCCAAATAGAAGGGCTGTTGTCTTTCTCGTATTAGCTTTTGAATTTGTATAAACAAGGGCATAGCGTTGGAAGTTGTTTTAAGAAAAGGAGAAGTCTCAAGCAACGGAATGGAGTGAGCTACATATGCACTATCAGTATAAATATTTACAGCCTGACTGGAAAACTGTGTAAAGACTTGAAGTATGGCATACAGCTCAACCAACTGAGGCCGACTGATAAGAGTTTTTAAATACGTGAGAACGGTTATCTGCCACGAAGGCAGCCATTCCATTGGAGGACCCATCTGTAAACACCGTAACAGCCTTTGGAATGGGGTTACTTTTTGTATTTTTTGGGAAAATAAAGGAATAGGATTGGGCAAACTGTAACACGGGGTCATCAGGGAGGTGATTGTCAATGACTCCCATAAATCCTGACATGGCTATTCCCCAGTCATCAGAAGTTTGAAGAAGGAACTGGGTCTGTTCTCGGGTATATGGCACTACTACAACATCGGGGTCTTTTCCAAAATATTGGCGGGAAAGGAAACGAGCCTTGATGATTATTGAAGCAACCTGAGACAATATACTGCAATTACCTAGATGAGGAAATGGGGAGATGAACCCAGAAAAGAGGTTGACCCTTTTTATTGGGCATGAGGGATTTTTGCCAAAAAACTCCAGTGGGCATATGTGGTGTGGCTAAAACTACAAAAAGCAGGGGGAGAGTATAAGAATCTGTGAAACAAACTGTTGGCTGATGGCTTGCGCTACTTGGTTTAATGCGTCTCCCGCAGCAGGGGTGAGCTCGCGGGGGGAAGAGGGATCTGGGTCTCCTCGCAGAATGTCATTGAGGGGCAAGAGGACATTATTAGATATTTTTAAATAGGGCCTGAGCCATTGAATATCTCCTAGAAGTTTTTGAAAATCATTAAGGGTTATGGAGGCAATCCAAGCGGAACTGGATGCGGGGCACAAAAACCAAATCCTGTTGTAATTTTAAACCTAAATAGGTAAAGGGGTCTTGTAACTGGACCTTATCAGGAGCAATTTGTAAACCAAGGGCAAGAAAGGCTTTAGAAAGTGCTGTAAAGCAATCTTGTAGGTCAGACTTGTTTTGAGCCGCCAGTAAAATGTCATCCATATAATGTAGAATATAAATGTGCGGCCAGTGTAAACGAACCGGGTCCACTGCCTGTGCTACAAACTTTTGACAAAGGGTGGGGCTATTGGCCATTCCCTGGGGCAAGACTTTCCAATGAAATCTTTGCATCGGTCCCTGGAAATTAACACGGGGGAGGCTAAAGGCAAAATAAGGACGATCATCAGGGTGTAGAGGAATAGTGAAAAAAACAGTCTTTGAGATCTATAATTATTTTGTAATAACCATTTGGGATGGCCACGGGGGTTGGGATGCCAGGTTGGAGGGCACCCATGGGTGCCATGACCTTATTAACGGCGCGCAAATCCTGTAAAAGGTGCCATTTACCAGATTTTTTCTTTATGACAAAAATGGGCGTATTCCAGGGAGAATTGGAAGGCTCTAGGTGTCCAGCCGCGAGCTGCTCCTGTACAAGCGCTGTAGCGGCATTTAGCTTTTCTTGAGTAAGCGGCCACTGATCCACCCAAACAGGAGTTTGAGTATTCCATGTGATTTTATCTGCATGGGGTACAGGAAGGCCAGTGGCCGTTACTAAAAATCCGAATATCCGAGCCCATGTCTATCTGTTTTAGAGGGGGCTGTAATAGGTTGAGTTATGCCCTGTCTCATTTTTCCAAGTCCTGTGCCAGGCACATAATCCATGCGCAGCATTTGTTGTGTGACCACAGCATTAGGGCTGCACAGGATAACTTCCATTTGGAGAGAATGTCACGTCCCCACAGGTTAACAGGAAGGCCTGGTAATACAAAAGGAGTCACAGTGCCCTGATTGCCTTCCTTATCTTTCCAGCGTAATACCCTTGAGCTGACTTGGGGGTTATTGGACTGGCCTATACCTCACAAATAGGTGAGAGATGCGGTCATTGGCCAATGGGCGGGCCAATGATCTTGAGATATGACCGTGGCATCTGCCCCTGTATCCAAAATGCCCTTGAAATCCTTTCCTTCAATAGTAAGGGTTAACACAGGCCTATTTTTTGTAATTGGCTGGACCCAATAAGCATCTGAGGAGCCCAAAGGGGTAATGCCTCGGGGCCTGGAAGAAATTGAGGATGTACTTCCAGTAATTAAAGGCAGAAGAACCACTTGTGCTAGATGGGTGCCCTGTGGAACGGCAGCTACTCCATTGATAGCGGCTGCTAGGATTTTTATTTCCCCGTAAAGTCACCGTCAATAATACCGGGAAAAACTTGAATGCCTTTAAGGGTGGCTGATGCTCGGCCAAGAATAAAAGCACAGGTACCCGAAGGCAAGGGGCCCCACACCCCTGTAGGGATAATTTGTGGGCCCTGGGTGGAATCTAATATTGTATCGGAGGCGGCACAGAGGTCCAGTCCTGCGCTACCGGGGGTTGCTCATTGGAGAGAAGCAATTGTTGAGGTATTTGCTGAGCCTGAGGCTGGGAAGGGACAAACCATACTGCCCCAGGGTTTGTCCTTTGAGAAACTGGGGCCAGGGGCTGGCCCCTCTGGGAGTTTCCCGGCACACTAGGAGGGAGGGGTTGGCCTGAAGAATTAGTCTTTGACCTGCATTCATTTGCCCAGTGATAACCCCTATGACATCGGGGGCATGGGGTGGAGGGGAGCGGCCTACCTGGAGGAGATGGAGCCGCGCCTTGGGCCATGGGCCTGTTTGATAAGGCAGTTGGACATTCGCAGGCAAAATGTCCAGGCTGTTTACAGGCGTAGCAAGTGGAGGTCCCCTTGGAGGGATTTTGCGTCAGTTTGAGTGCGGCCCCAATTGCCAAGCCCATGGCATGGGCTGATCCCACACCAGCGCAGAGCCTCACATAGTCTGAAAGATCACCCTTATGTTTATGAGGCCGAAGAATATCTTTACAAGCTGGGTTGGCATTTTCAAAGGCGAGGTGCGTAACAAATGCACTTCCATTTTCTCCTGGGCCAACTAGTCTCTCAGCTGCAACATTAAGGCGCGAGACAAAATCACTATAAGGCTCGTCGGGCCCCTGCTGAATCTTAGCCAAAGAGGTAGTGACTGCTCCCCTTTGAGGGAGCTTTCTCCAAGCCCTAGTCCGGCAGTTTTAATTTGCGCCAGAAGTCCATCAGGGAACTGGGCTTGTGAATTGTTGGAATTATATGGGGCATCTCCCAAAAGTTTTTTGAGGGGCCAATTTTTAGATGAAGCTTTAGCAAAATTTTGTTGGGCTATTTCTTTACAAATTTGAACATAATCAGCCCTCCACAGGACATAGTCACCTCCGCTGAGAGCAGCTCTGGCGAGGAAGTCCCAATCATTAGGTGTAAGCCACCGGGCACTCTGGCTTTCCAATAAGGCCTGAGTATACAGGGCAGTGGGACCATACTGGGTGCAAGCAGTTTTAAGTTTTTCAATAAATCTGAGACTAAGTTTTTTATAGGGTGGCGGCTGTCCATTACCAGGTCCTTGATTGGGGACCTGATCTTCCTCCTCTGACCCAGGTTCCTCACTATCTTCCTCAGAGTGGTGGGGCGAATTCTCCTCAGCCTCATTTTCCCCATCAGCGGCAGGCTCAGAATGACCTCCGGCTTGCCTCCTGGTTACAGGGAAAGCTAGAAGGGGTTGGGTTTTGGACCTGACTTTACCTTGTTTAGGTTTTGGAAGGGGCTGCTCTAAGGCAAGGTGGCGGAGCTCCTCGTCAAGGGATTTTATTTCCTTAAGGAGCTGGATGTGCTCTCGTCTCTGTTGAAGTGACTGTCGCAAGGCCGACAAGTCAGGCACAGGAGGGTTAAAGTCATAGAGAGCGGGGGCACAAATGGGAAGGTGCGGGTGAGTATTGTATGGCGGGGGATTTTTAACATTTTGGGGCCAATTGGAATTATGATAGTGCACGACCTCTTCCTCTGGGGCAGCTTCCTCATCTGAATCTAATTTGTCTCGGATGGCAGGATATAGTCGGCTCGCTTCGTTGGTAGGGGCTAAAGTGGACTCTTTAATTTTATTGTTGGGGTCATCATCAGTGGAGGGTATATCTAGAATGACAGATGGGCATTTAGATGCAGGTCGGGAGGATTGCTGTAACGTCTCCTCACCATCCCTTACTAGGGCATCAATAGTCTTATCTAGGTGACGGGTTTTTAGAATGTCATTAATCAGGTTCCAATATGAAAAAATCGTAATAGGCACTTTTGCAGGGCCAAAGATCTCATGAAAATCCTTTAAACAACTTCCAACTCTTTCCCACTTGATCTCGTCAATTGTTCCTTCCTTGGGGAACCAGGGACACAATCTTTCTACATACTCAAAAAATGCCTTTAGATCCTTATTTTTAACCCGAACTCCTCGTGTCTTGAGGGCCTCCCTGAGACCTGAAATGAACATTTCCCGTGACGATAATGCCTGTCCCATGGCTGTCACTTACCTTGCGCCGTCTTCACTCCACAGCGTCGACCGATGCTGATGATCTCGGGTGGGCAGCTCCGAGCCGGTCGCACAATCACTTGGATCCAAGTTTTCCTCCTGGAAGGCGGCGTTCCTCCAATCTTACAGGCACTTGAACCCCAAGGGCCGCACTCGAGCCCCACGTTGGGCGCCAGTTGTCCCGTCCCACGGGACAGCAACTGGGGCCAAACACCTAGAAGGAGAAATGAAAGGGACAGGAGACACAAGGATGGCAGCAAGACAGGTGCCGATCAAGCTGCGACTTTATTTTTCAACCACACACTTATATATCATCGAGGCAGGGTATCGGGAGGGGGAAGGAGGGTGGGCTTATCTTGTAGCTGCAATGCTAGTGCAAGTAGGGGAAAGGTTACAAGGCCTTAAGGCACAAGGTCACACAAGGTTGCGTTATCAGTACTATCAGGTCTGGCCTGTCCAGCCCTGTCTCTCAACTAAGAGGTCACATGCTGCGTGGTCCCCGACACATCCAGACCAATAATAATACAATCAATAGTCAGAAGAATGGTGTGAAAATGTATTTGGATAGCTTTTTCCTTGGATTTATTACATAATTTATTTGAAAAGCAGAGTTACAGCGAAGGAGGGAGGGAGGGTTCCCTCCTCAAATGGATGCAATGGTCAGTGTTGGACCAGGCCAAAGCTGTGAGCCTGGGAATACTTCCAGGTCTCTCATATGGTGGCACTATCCCAAGCACTTGGGCCATCCCCTGATACCCACTCAGGTACATCAGCAGAGAGCTGGACTGAAATGGGGTGGCCAGGTCTTGGACCTGGGCTCATGGAATGCCAATGTTGCATTCATTGATTTAACCAGCTGAGTCAAATGCCAGGCCTTAAATTGCTTTTGTCATTTCATGCTGGGAGGTGACCACTGCCAGAGAGGATGGCCTCCAGTGTTTGCTGTCTAAGGCTACATGTCAGGAATAGGATACGGAAACTCTCCAACATCAAGTAACAAAAGCTATTCACGGGGTCTGGTATTGTGGTTCAGTTAGTTGAGCCACCACCATGTGAGTGCCATTTTTCTTTCTAGTTTTAAGAACAAAGCAAGGGAAAGCAATGGGAATACTCATCTCTTTGTTAATTGTTTCTTTTGTCATAAATTGCAATACTTGAAGCCTTTGAATTTCCTTATATTTGGCCATATTACTCATTTTAATTTGGCCTGTGGATTTCCACTTTATCTAGGCAAATTTTAACTTCCAAAAACTTAGTTTACTTTTAATTTGTTACTTATTCTTTTAGAGTCACTCTGCCTCCTATGGAATAATTGAGTTCATTTGACCATGGAAAATTGAAGCATTGTTATAATTAAAAATAAGTATAATAAGTGAATACCTTATTTTTTCTTCTCTTTTCTTTTTGTAATTTTCCTAAGATCATATGTTGTATTTTGTTTAAATTTAGAGCTATCCATTGCTACAATTGTAATTTGGGCCACACTATGGATTTCGCCCATGAAATTTTGAAAATAGGCAAATACTGGAAGTTGTGAAAATTAATTTTAATAAAGACTTATTTATTTTAAAGGCAGAGTTAGAGGGGGGGATGGAGCAAGGGAAGGAGGAAGACAGACAGAGACAGAGACAGAGAAAGATCTTCCATCTACTACTTCATTGCCCAAATGGCTGCAATGCTCAATGTTGGGCCAGGCAGAAGCCAAGAACCACGAGCTTCATCAGGATCTCCCAAATGAGTGCAGGGGCCCAAGATCTTGAGCCATCCTCTATTGCTTTCCCAGGCACATTAGCAGGGAGCTGGATTGGAAGTGGAGCATCCAAGAGTGGAATCAGCATTCATATGGGATGATGGCATCATAGACTCTGGCTTAACCCATTAAGCCACAATGCTGGTCTCAAGAGTTAATTTAGACCCTGTTCTATGGAAACACCATAGTCCATCAGGGTCCTTTTAAATCTGCTTATTATATCATTAAGCATTATAATTTCTACTTGGATCAAAGTATTAGCTTTTTAAAACCACACACATATACATAAGAATAATTTATTCATTTTTGTATTTTCTTTCCCTTTCTCTGATATCTAGATTTTAATGGACATATTTCTAGTTTTTTATTTTTCATTCATCTTATTTCTCTCCTTTTCTCACAGTTTTTAATTTCCATATTTCTTTGAAAGTTTTTTTTTTTTTTTTTTTTTTTTTTTTTTTTTTTTTTTGTGGAGCTTCTGGGTGGGTGCAATTTAAGCAGGTAGTGATTGGGTATATTACTTTGCCAAAGTCACCATGACACATTACAACAAATGGGATGGTTTAATTCACCAGATGTTGTTTCTCACAGTCCTGCACATTGGAAGTTTGAGATCAAGGTGTCTACAGGCTTGGTGACTTCTGGGACCTCGCTCCCTGGCTTCCAGTCAGCCAGCAACTTGCTATATGTTCACATGGTATTTCCTCTGTCCATGTGAATCCCTGCTGGCTCTCCTTATAAGGTCAGGTGTGAGTCTGGATTAGGGTCTCACACTTGATATCATTTTCCTTCTGTTACACCTTTAAAGGTCCTGTCTCTAAAAACAATCACATTGGGGATTAGGGCTGCAAGATATTCACTTTTGGGAGAATCAGTTCAGCCCATTACAGTGAGAGGTCCCGGTGCTCTGCTTCAAAGAAGCCAGGTCTGAGGAGGGCTTAATGCTTGAAATGAGGGTTAGGATTCCTCATAATATTATTTTCTATGCTGTCTCTCATATGCACACACACACTTACAAACTCCTGTGTGTGCATACAAAAATATAAATGTCTAAATGTTGCATTCAGATAAAGTCAACATAGTAACCAATGAAGTTGAATATTAGAAAATATTAAAATGGAAAAGAAATAGGAAAATGAGAACACAGGTAATTATATGAGTACATATGATTCCACTGTTCATCGTTCAGAAAACACATGCATCATAGTATGAGAAACAAAACTAAAACTATTCTTTACAGGAATACAGACCAGTTTACAAGAGGGATGTTGTCCTAATTATTTTATAAACTTTGAATTAATGTTAATCTGTTTGAAATTATGATTATATGACAAGTAGGGAATATAAGTTCTGAGAGAGTATCAATCTGTTATTATAGGAACAGGTTTAATGCTTCCTTTTATCTTCGAGCATTATCTACTAAAGTAACTGCAGAGTGGTTCAGTATGGATTTTTCAATTCCTTGACAGTTTTATTTTAAAGATTTATTTTATTTGTTTGAAAGAATTACAGAGAGGTAGAGATAGAGAGAGCGGTCTTCCATCTGCTGGTTCACTCCCCAGATGGCCACAACAGCCAGAGCTGCACCAATCTAAAGCCAGGAGCCAGGAGCCTCTTCCCGGCTTCCCATGTGGGTGCAGGGGCCCAAGGACTTGGGCCATCTTCTAGCTTTTTTTGCAGGCCACAGCAGAGAGCTGGATTGGAAGAGGAGCAGCCAGGACTATAACTGATGCCCATATGGGATGCCCATGCTTCAGGCTAGAGCTTTAACCCACTGCATCACAGTGCCACCCCCCACTGCCAGTTTTACATAATGACATTTTTAAAATCATGGCTAGATTTTTTTTAAAGATTTATTTATTTACTTTTAAGATAAAGTTCCAGAGAAGCAGAGGCAGAGAAGAGAGAGAGAGAGAGAGAGAGAGAGAGGGAGAGAGAGAAAGAGAGAGAGAGATATTATCCTTCCACTGGTTCACTCCCCAAATGGCCACCATTGCCAGGGCTGGGCCAATCCAAAACCAGGAACCTGGAGCTTCTTCTGGATCTCCCATGTGGGTACAGGGACCCATGCACTTTGGCTGTCTTCTATTGCTTTTCCAGGTGCATTAGCAAGGAGCTGGATTGGAAGTGGAGCCGCCAGTACTCAAACTGGTGCCCATATGGGAGGCTGGCACTGCAGGCATATGCTTATAATTCTTGTAATTATTTTACAAATTTGGTGAAGTAGATATGATTATTACTAAACTTGTGAGAAAATGTTAAATTGGCATATATGTCACATTAGTTTGTTCAAAGCCAACAAAGTGCATCAGTAATAATGTGCTAAATTCACAGAATATTGGCAACTTATTGAGTTTATTTTTAGCAGCTAATGGATAATTACTAGGTGGTAATTGCAAACATAATTCACAAGTCCCTGAGCACTCATGTGTTAAAATTGAATGGGGGGGCAGTGCTGTGGCATGGTGGATGATGCCCCTGCCTGCTGTGCCAGCATCCCATATGGGTGCTGGTTCGAGACTCGGCTGCTCCACTTCTGATCCAGCTCTCTGCTATGGCCTGGGGGGGGCAGTGGAGGATGGTCTAAATCCTTGGGCCCATGCACCCACATGGGAGATCCAGAGGAAGCTCCTGGCTCCTGGCTTCAGATTGGTTCAACTCCAGGATTGTGACCAGTTGGGGAGTGGACCAGCGGATGGAAGACCTCTCTCTCTCTCTCTGCCTCTCCTTCTCTTTCTGTGTAACTTTTTTCAAATAAATAAATAAATAAATATTTTAAAAAATGAATGGGGAGCCCTCACGTCCACAAGGTGCCACACCTGCCTTGTACTATGCCTGAAAGCAGAAGCGAGTCTACACATGTCATGGATGCACACTCCTGGAGGCAGAATATGTAACTTCTAAAAGTGAAAGACCAAGAGCCAACAACACAATCCAAGTCTCCTACGTGCATGGCAGGAATCCAATTACCTGGGCTATGACCACCGCCTCCCAGGGTCTTCATTAGCTGGAAGCTAGAGTCTGGAGCTGGAGCTGGGCTTCAAACCTAGGCACTCAGGTGTGGGACAGAGGTGTCTTAACTATTAGATCAAATGCCTGCTCTGAGACTCTGTGTTTAATTAACTTTCTTCAAGCAGAAGCTGCATGGTGTAATGGGAAAAATAGCCTTGGAATCTAACAAAGCTGATTCCTGGATCCCAGTTCAACATGACCTTGGGCAAGTTGCTTTACTTCTATGAATTTCCATTTCCTTCTCAATGGACACCTTGCAACTCAATGTCTAGGAGTGCACCTAGCACAACCCGAGTCGGCCTAAAGGACAAGCAGCAAGGATTATGAGTCTGCCATTCTGTGACCCTCCCCAGGCCAGCACCCTCTCTCAGCAGGTATGTGCACAGCCTGCCTCTGCCCCTCCTCTCTAGGCTCCCCAATCTGTCTGCGGGGTGTCCACTCACAGACCACAGAGGGTGGTGGCAGTGCGACGGCCTCTTGATGTCCCCGGCCCACTCCGACGCGGAATGTCACCCAAGGGCTCCGCCGAGGCCACCTCCCGCAGAGTGCAGGAGATCCAAGTAGGCCAATCGTGTGCACGGCCACCGCCCCCTCAGCGCTGCCCTGGGCCCTTGCTCCCCCTCCTCTGCCCTCTTGAGCCCCTGCCCTGGTCGCCACCGGGCAGTGGTGTCTGGAGAGCGCGCAGAGGAATTAGCGCCTGCACGCCCTGCGCTACTGCACAAGCTGGGCCAGGCCACCCGGGATGGAGAGGCGGCGGCCTGGAAGGCTGTTGATCTAGCGCGCCCAGAGCGGAGATCTTGGTCCCACGCAGGCCGTACACCCTCAACCCTTGCGTGATGAGGCACCGAAGCAGCCGCTGGCACTGCGGGGCTGTCCCCAAGGATGAGAAAGCGGCCTGGCTGAGGACGTTGGCGCCGGCCTGCTTGAATAGAGGGGCAGCGAGTGCATGGCGCAGAAACATTCTCTGCCACTCTCTGCTCCCTGGCCCTGAACTAGGCAGTCCAGCCCCCACCTCTCCTACTGGACCACCAATGCCTCCACCATGGGCAATGACAGTGGCGGGCCTGGGGGGCAGGGCCAGAGCAAGCGGGACCAGCGGTACTGTGAGCCCTGTGGAGAGATGGAGAGCCTGCTGTGCTGCGGCCGCACCAGCGCCAGAACTGGAAGGAGCAGGAGCTCCTGTGCCAGGGCAGGGAGGGCGCCTCTGGCCACGGGGAAGGCCCGCACCAGTGCCCTGGCCTTTCCCACCACACCACGGCCCAGGGCCGTGGGGCCAGAGCCCAATAGGCCAGGAAAGGAGCTGCTCATCCCTAGTCGCTACAGCACCTCCACTGCCTCCAGGTATTCGGGCCGGCTGCAGGAGATGCAGCCAAGGCAAAGGCCAAGTCCATGGCCCACCCTGCCATAAACAGGAACCCTGGCCTCCAGGGCCGGCAGTGGCAGAGGTGGAGCCAGGGAAGGAGGAACTGCTGAGCCGCCCATCGCAGTATCAGGAGCAAGCGAACCAGTACCCACCTAGAAACACGCCCTGCCAGGGACTGAGCCATAGCTGTGGTCTGCAGCCCAAAGGGCAGATGAAGCCAGTTCCGCACTGCCTTGCATGAACGAGCGTGGCATCTGGGTAGTGGATGACTTCCTGGACAAGATATGCAACGAGATGTGTGCCCTGCACTGCACAGGCAAGTTCACAGCCAGCCAGCTGTGAAACCGCTGGGCTGCTGATGAGCAGCATGGACGACCTGATCCACCACTGTAACGAGAAGCTGGGCAACTACAAAATGATTGGCCGGAGGAAAGCCATGGTTGTTATCCAGGCAATGGAACAGGTTACGTGTGGTATGTTGATAATCCAAAATGAGATGGGAGATGTGTGACTTGTATATATTAATAAAGACTGGGGTGCCAAGGTAAGTGGAGGTGTACTTAGAATTTTTCCAGAAAGCAAGCCCAGTTTGCTGACATTGAACCCAAATTTGATAGACTGCTGAAACTTCTATATTAAGTAACAATGGTGAGAGTGGGGATCTTTGTATGAAATGCTTACAGCATTTCCCCATTCAGTAGGATCTGGCTATGGGTTTGTCATAAATTGTCTTGATTGTGTTGAAGAATGTTCCTTCTATACCCAATTTGTTTAAAGTTTTAGTCATGAAAGGATGTTGTATTTTATCAAATGCTTTCTCTTCATCCATTGAGATAACCACATGGTTTTTGTTTTTCAGTTTGTTAATATGATGTATCACATTTATTCATTTGGGAATGTTGAAACATCCCTACATATAAAAGATAAACCCCAGTTGGTCTGGGTGAATGATCTTTATGATGTGTTGCTCAATTAGCTAATTTTTTGTTGGGGATTTTTGCATCTATGTTCGGCAGGGATATTAGTATATAGTGTTCTTTCTCTGTTGTTTCTTTTGCTGGTTTAGGAATTAAGATTATGCTGGCTTCATAGGAGTTTGGGAGGTTTTCCTTTCTTTCAGTTGTTTTGAATAGCTTAAGAAGAATGGAATTAATTCTTCTTTAAATATCTTGTAGAATTGAGTAGTGAAACCATCCAGTCCTGGGATTTTCTATATTGGGAGAGTTTAATTACTGATTCAGTTTCTGTCTTGGTTATTGGTCTGTTAGTTTTTCTGTCTTCATACTCAATTATATTAGATTGTATGTGTACAGAAATCTATGCATTTCTTCAGGTTTTCCCAATTTATTGGCATATAGCTCTTTGTAGTATTTCCTGATGATTCTTTTTTATTTCTATGGTATCTATTATATTTCCTTTTTCATTTCTGATTTTATTGATGTGGATATTTTCTTTCATTATTCTTAGTTGGGCCAGTAGTGTATTAATTTTATGTATTTTTTCAAATAAAGCAGCTCCTCATTTCATGATATTTTGTATTTTTGTTTTTGTGTATTTCTTCTCTAATATTAAGTATTTTTTTCTTCTACTACTTTGGTTTTTTTTTTTCTAGGTCCTTGAGATGCATTGACAGCTCACTTATTTGGTGTCTTTCAATTTCTTATGTAGGTACCCATTGCTATAAATGTCCCTCTCAGCACTTCCTCTTTTGTATGATGTAATTTTGGTATGATGTATTGTACTGTTTTTTTCCAGAAATATTTAGATTTCTTCTATGACCTACTGTTCATTCAGGAGCATGTTGTTCAGTCTCCATTTGTCTGCATATGTCTAGAGATTCTTGAATTGTTGATTTCCAGGTTCATTCCACTGTGGCCATAGAAGATGCATGGTAGGGTTTCAGTATGGTGTAGCATATGCTCTATGCTAGAGAAAGTTCCATGCACTGGTGAGAAGAATGTGTGTTCTGCTACTGTGAGATGAAAAGCTCTGTAGATATCTTTTTCAGTGTTTTAAACATGCCAAGCTGTGTTGACTCAGTAGGCAAAGGCCAGCCTACATTCAAAGGGCAGTAATTTCCACCTCAGATGTTAGAGTTGTAAAGACATTCTGGCCTCCATGTATCTACCAGAAATGTGATTGTCATTTTGTATTTTAGTTTTGTCCAACATAAATTATAATTTTCTTTGTGATTTTTTCATCCATAGATTATATAGGCTATTTGAGTTTTAAATACTAGAGGCTCCTCTGGGCCTCTGTTTTCTTATTTAATTCTTTTTAAAATTTTTTAGAAAGCTTTAATTTAATAAATGTAAATTTCATAGGTATAGTTTTAGGAATATAGCAGTTCTTCCCCCCATACCCACCCTCCCACCTTCAAATCATCCCATCTCCTACTCCCTCTACCATTCCATTCTTCATTAAGATTCATTTTCAATTAACTAAAGAAGACCACCACCTATATTTAAGTAAAGATCTCAACAATTTGCACCCACACACACACAAAGTATAAGGTACTGTTTGAAAACATATTTTACTGTTAATTCTCATAGTACAACTCATCAAGAACAAAGGTCCTTCATGGGGAATAAGTGCACAAGGATTCCTGTTGTTGATTTAGCAATTGACACTCTTATTTATGATGCCAATGATCACCCACCTGGCTTTTGTTTCATGCCATTTGATACTTTCTTTTGGTCACCTTAATATTTACAATTGTTATATCATTCTGATATATGATCCATTTATTATCATGCTGCTAATATATAACATTACAATTTATAAGATAAAACTAACCACATATTTGGGCCAGCATTGTGACATAATTAGTTAAGCCATCACCTGTAGTCCTGGCGTTCCATATGTGTGCCAGTTCTAGTCCAGCTGCTCCACTTCAGATGCAGCTCCCTGCAAATGCACCTGAGAAAGGTAACAGAAGGCTCAAGTTACTGGACCTCTACACCCATGTGGGTGACCCGAGTGAAGCTCCAGGTTCCTGACTTTAGCCTGGACCAATCCTTGCTGTTGTGGTCATTTGGAGAGTGAACAAGCAGACTGAAAACCTCTCTCTCCCTCTCTCTCTCTCTCCTTCTGCCTCTCAAATAAATAAAATCAACCTTAAAAGACCACATTTTTACATTAAATATCTTCCTCACAATAAAACGAAGTAGAAGAAATCTGAAAATCCTTGGAAGAATAGATGATCTCATACTATCCACATACAGACAGGAAGGAAAATTTGGTCTAAAAAATTAACAGATTTCATCAAAAAAGAGATCTTAAACCAAAAATTATGTATAACAATTATGAAATATTACAATGAGTGCAAAATATTAAATAATTTTAAATAGCAAAATAATTATATAAAATAATCTAGATTGAAATTGGTTTAATATGAAATCTATTAATGTAATCAATTACATTGAATAGATAAAAGGAAAGTAATATTGTTATGTCTGATTATGTGCAAAAATGACAGACTTTGGACATAAACAGTGTATATTTTTTTAACTTTTATTTAATGAATATCAATTTCCAAAGTACAGAATATGGATTACAATGACTTCCCCCCCATAACATCGCTCCAACCTGCAACCCTCACCTTATCCACTCCCTCTCCCCTTCCATTCACATCAAGATTCATTTTCATTTCTCTTTATATACATAAGATCAGTTTAGCATACATTAAGTAAAGATTTCAACAGTTTGCTCCCACACAGAAACATAAAGTGAAAAATACTGTTTGAGTACTATTTATAGCATTAAATCTCAATGTACAGCACACTAAGGACAGAGATCCTACATGAGGAGTAAGTGCACAGTGACTCCTGTTGTTGACTTAACAAATTGACACTCTTGTTTATGGCATCAGTAATCACCCTAGGCTCTTGTCATGAGCTGCCAAGGCTATGGAAGCCCCCTGAGTTCACTGACTCTGATCATATGTAGACAAGGCCATGGTCAAAGTGGAAGTTCTCTCCTCCCTTCAGAGAAAGGTATCTCCTTCTTTGATGACCCATTCTTTCCACTGGGATCTCACTCACAGAGATCTTTCATTTAGGTTTTTTTTCCCCAGAGTGTCTTGGCTTTCCATGCCTGAAATACTCTCATGGGCTTTTCAGCAGGATCCGCATGCCTTAAGGGCTGATTCTGAGGCCAGAGTGCTGTTAGGACATTTGCCATTCTATGGGTCTGCTGTGTATCTCACTTCCCATGTTGGATCATTCTCTCCCTTTTTGATTCTATCAGCTAGTATTTGCAGACACTATTCTTGTTTATGTGATCCCTTTGGTTCTTAGTCCTATCATTATGATCAATTGTGAACAGAAATTGATCACTGGGACTAGTGAGATGGCATTGGTACATGCCACCTTGATGGTATTGAATTGGAATCCCCTGCTATGTTTCTAACTCCACCATTTGAGGCAAGTCAGCTTGAGCATGTCCTGAATTGCACATCTCTTCTCTCTCTTATTCCCACTCTTATATTTAACAGCAATCACTTTTCAGTTAAGTTTCAGCACTTAAGAAGAATTGTGTATTGATTACAGTATTCAACCAAAAGTATTAAGAACAAACAAAAAAATACTAAGAGGGGTAACAAATTAAGCTGCTCATCAACAGTCAGGGTGAGGGCTGATCAAGTCACCATTTCTCATAGTGTTCATTTCATTTTAACAGGTTTCCTTTTTGGTGCTCAGTTAGTTGTCACCTATCAAGGAGAATAAGTGGTATTTGTCCCTTTGGGATTGGCTTATTTCAGTCAACATAACGTTTTCCAAATTCCTAACAGGGATCACTTTTCAGTTATAATTTAAATACCTAAGAACAATTGTGTGTTAATTACAGAGTTCAACCAATGGTACTAGAACAAAAAAAATACTAAAATGGATAAAGTATTACATTGTACATCAACCATCAGGACAAGAGCTGATCAAGTCACTGTTTCTCACAGTGTCCATTTCACTTCAACAAGTTTCCCCTTTGGTGCTCAGTTAGTTGTCGCCAATCAGGGAGAACCTATGATATTTGTCCCTTTTGGACTGGCTTAATTCACTCAGCATGATGTTTTCCAAATTCCTCCATCTTGTTGCAAATTACTGGGTTTCGTTGTTTTTGACTGCTGTATAGTATTCAATAGAGTACAGTGTATATTTTATTATCTCATGATCTTGTCAGTCAAAAATACAGGCACTAATTCATTGGCAAATATGTCCATTTCTCATGACATTGAGATCATGCTGGGATACTCATGTTTGGTCTCAGCTGATCTAGAAGGTTTAAGACAATTGATACACGTAACTAGTGTGTTGTCATGGAGGAGGCTAGGGTGCTGGGAATCAGCTGGGCACACTTCCCTCTCTAGGTTTCTCCAGGGATTGCCCATTAGAGTAGTTCTACTGATTTCAGTAAGGCCTAGAGCTGCCATTGCATTGAAGGCCAGGTCTAGAAACTGGCATGACATCATTTATAGTGTAATCTCATGTCAAGGCACTCACATAGTAGCTTAGAGTCAGAGGAAGAGAATACAGACTCTATCTCAAATAAAGAACATCAGATATTTTGTTGGCATCGATAATTAGAGGCAGATTATGTGTTAACAAAATCTTCCTCAGATGTAGGACCCCCAAAACCCCTCAATCTCAACAAATAACTGTTAGTGTTAGAATCTGAAAGTGGTGGGTTGGATAGAGGGAGTTGGGTAAACAATTGGCAAAACTGGCATGGTTCACTAATTGTGACAGACTATCACAACTAGTGAGATAAAAATAGAGAAATCTATGAGTGGCTCATTGATTGTGACAAATATATCATACTAGTATAAGATGTTAGCAGTAAGGATTCTGAGAGTGGGATATATGGGAACTGTGTGGTTATTTTGTAATTTTTGTTTTATAAATTTAAAGTATTCTGAAATAAGTTATCTTTATAATGGCATTGATACACTAAGAATTTTGAAACAAAAGTGTATTGCACTTAAGAGTTGGACATAGGTGCTACCATTTTCATTGTTATTAGGTTATTAACCATGGAAATAGGGAAGAAAAAAATCAACTTAGAATCATGATAACTTCAGAAGGAGAAGAAAGTATTTTATTGAAAATTATTTGGTTATAGAAAAAAATTAAAAGAATCTTGGAAAAGCTAAAATTAGCAAGATAACTTAATGAATCAGTTTATAAAACCAACATCCAAATCACAATAGTCTTTGTGCTTTTCAACATACACCAATTACAAGATATGATGGAATAGAAGATCCCATTTTTACTAAAAACAATTTTTAAATAAGATAAAATGTTAGAAGCTTATACACATGTATCATTGTAAAAGGGGAAAATATCATGTTTTTGAATATTGGCTTAATATAAAAAGTTCTTTACTCCACATTAATTTTAAATATGTAAATATGGAAGGTGCATTTTTTTTTATTTTTATTTATTTATTTATTTATTTATTTTTTGACAGGCAGAGTGGACAGTGAGAGAGAGAGACAGAGAGAAAGGTCTTCCTTTTGCCGTTGGTTCACCCTCCAATGGCCGCCACGGCCGGCGCGCTGCGGCCGGTGCACCACGCTGATCCGATGGCAGGAGCCAGGAGCCAGGTGCTTTTCCTGGTCTCCCATGGGGTGCAGGGCCCAAGCACCTGGGCCATCCTCCACTGCACTCCCTGGCCACAGCAGAGAGCTGGCCTGGAAGAGGGGCAACCGGGACAGAATCCGGCGCCCCGACCGGGACTAGAACCCGGTGTGCCGGCGCCGCTAGGTGGAGGATTAGCCTAGTGAGCCGCGGCGCCGGCCCTGGAAGGTGCATTTTTATAAAATTTATTTATGATTTATAAATTATAAATTATTAATTTAAAAATCCCTGAATATTTTATTTTCTGCAGAAAATTATTATAGGCATGTTTAGAACACTCAAGCTGAAAATAGTAAAAAAAAAAATCCCTGCAAAAAAGAAGAGCAATGAGAAAGGACTCTGTAATAATGTTCACACAGTGTGACACTAGTACACAAAGGAACAAAATAAAATGTATATATTGATTCAATTATGCATGGAAAAAAATAAAAAAAGACAACATGTTTCTAGCAAAGGCAAAAAACTGAGGCAGAGGAGGAGGTGTAGGAGGTGGGGAGGTGAGAGGAGGGGAAAGGAGGAGTAGGGGGAGGAGGGGGAGGACCAGAGGAAGAAAAGGAGGTCCTTATGTAACCAGAAGTTGGAGTGCCATACAATATCACTGAATGCTTATTGATAAATTCCCAATATTAATAAGCCCATGAGGGTTCTTGCCTAATGTTTAGAGAAGAATTCTGAATACTGGCATAAATGAACGAGGCAGTGTGGTGCATTTTAAACTTGTATTCAGTGATTCAGTGTGAAAGATGCATAGGAGAGTGAGGGCTCTGCCTAAAAAGAGAGGTAAATCTGGGCTCATACCAAGTACCAGGAACCAGCCACATGTAAGAGCATCTGGGCCAGGAAGCATGGGGAAGGTGGCCCAAAGACAATGCACCCTGGAGGTTCAGGGCCACACAGACCCTGTACTGGCAAGATGCCAAGGAATAGGAAAGGGTGGACACACCATGTACCAGGCTTTTAAATTATTTTCAAAGGGGAATGGTTAATTAACCTGACTGGCCATTGTGTGCACAGGTGTGGCCAGGTAGGGCATGAGGTCACACAGGGGTGTGGTGAGGCATGGCCTTCCAGCTCACAAATCTAATCAATTTTAACCCATGTGCCTGCCTACATCACTTGGGGCCACACTCCCAGGTCTGAGAAGCCACATTTTCCAGAAGTGACTTCCAGGGAGCACAGGGTGCCACCCCATATGCCCTGCATGCACAGCTGCAGCCCCCACCTTCTCATGAGTGCAGGCCCACACCAGGCCTGTGGAGTGGTATCTGCCCTGGCCCCCACAGTGAGCCCCCACCATGGTCCCGCATGTGCCCCACTAGGCCAAGGGCAGCAGACATGTGGTTGTACTGCAGTAAGGAGCTCCTGTGTCCTTGTGGGGAAGTGACACTCAAAGTCCTGCCACGTTGTGCACTAGTGCAGTTCATGGACCCCCAATGGGGAAAATACACAGGGGCCTCAGACAGGCCCTACGTGCAGGCTCCACTGCTGACCCGCATCCTCCCTGCAAAGCCCAGAACTCGGTGTCCCAATGGAGTAGAAGATGGACTCAACTGAACTCAGTGAAGATGTGAAAGTTCTAAGCAATAACACCATGAAGGTGAAGACAGAGGCTGAAGATGCTGCCCTGGACTGCCCTCCAGTATTCCAGCTGACAGGAGAAGCCAGCAGTAGTGGGCAGCTGCGTGGGAGGAGGTGGCTG